GCAATTTGCTTGTGGTGTATCCGATCGTTTGACCCTACTTTTAGTAACGCTCACAAAACATTATTATTCACACACGATCTACGAGCGCAAATAAATAATTAAGTAAATAAAACGAAGAGCCGTTATAGTACTCGCGGCTCATTCCCCGCTCATTACGCAACGCCGCTTTTTAATCAGGAATCCATTCATGATCCGTGCGTGACGACATCGTCTGGTTCGAAATACCTTGGGGCGTTATAAAAGACCAACAAGGACTAAACTGGTGTAAACCATTAGAACTTTCCTGAAGAAATGGCAATAATATTTTAAGCGAGATTTCTTCTATAAAAAGATATTCCAAAATAATTCAAAGAATAACTTTTAAATGTTAGACCAACTCAACGGAAGAAGATTGACGCAAACGAATTTTCATTGACTCTTATCAATAAAAAGGAAGCAAGGACACAGAAACTAATAACTGACTGAATTCAATGACTACCAATGGCTAACTGCACGATCATTATCATTATTATGGCAATGGCTGCGAATGCTACCGGCCAGGTGCATCTAATATTAACGCAAGCCTAAAATTTTAGAGCAAGACCATCAGCAAAAACCTTGAACTTATTCAAAACGAGTAGAGGTTGTTTTTTTTCCCATGAACGAACCTCCATACGATGACCAACATCAATTAAGATCGGCACATCAAATGTGTCTAATCAAAAACAGTGCACTACAAGTGTTTAAGCAAAATAAAATACCAGTAAATCTTTTTGAGCACATCCCATAATGTTTCGCATACATACTAATAGTGCCAAAAGCAAGACAAATGGCAAATTTCCGAAGCAAACTGAAACTAACGGAAAGCCTTTTCTAAACTACCAACCAAATCAACATAACGCAGGCCCTTATTCATGTTATCCCGAGTCTTGAGCCGGGCTTGAGACCAAGACCAAAACCGCAACGCCATCAGGCGAATGACGTCTTAAGCGCCGCTCGCCCCGTAGCACAAATACTTTGGGAACGTATTTTTCGAGACACCCCGCGAGATATTAGCATTTAAATCTTTAACGGTGGGTGTTGAACGCGACATAAATTAGAATGCCGCAGAACAAACTGCGTACCGATTTCCATCTAAACAACGAGAAGGTGTAACCAGCCAGACTGCATATATATACACTGGGGCGAGCTTTTTGCTTTTCTGCATCGCCGCGCCGCGGACCGGCTGAACAGGGGACGGGTGGAATAACCTTAAACTTTAAATTTCAATCGCACGCCGAGCCAAAGGCTGCAAAAATCCGATCGCTATTACGGGCGAGATGAATTATTGTGCGCATTCCCACCTTTACGCAGCCGCTGTTCGACCTTTGAAGCGACCTTTATCGCCGGCATCTTGTGGTATCCATGCCACTATCTTATATCACTTAATGTCATGTGTTTTAGTTTTTTGCAGGATGCAACAGTACTTAATCCTAGTTTGATACGATATTCGTGAGATTTGATGAAAAACAATCAGAAGGGAAAGGAAATCAAGAACAAAAGGACCACGATCTCGCTCAATGGAGGAAATTGTGACAAGACGCGACCAAATATACATTTATTTTAAGGAATCTGAATTGCTTATAAAATTGAGAATGAGAATGGAAGAACGAGAGCCGTATACAAAAACTTGCATAGTCCCTTGCAAAGTAAGGAAATGCCCTTCATTTGCTGGAGTATTAAGAAAAGGAATACGGCCCAGCTATACTTATCTTAGACATGAACATGCCTTCCGAATATAGAAATATCCATGTGACTGATGATGATTCCGGCAAGATGTCCCAATTTTTCTAGAAATGAGCCTGGTGCATTTTTAAGAGCTTCTTTAGGAAAGATATTCGGAGCCATGCGTCTAAAAAATACAACAATTTGCTAAGCTAAAAGTGTAATAAATATGGTGTTTCATAACTCATATATGAAAGCACCGACAGATACCAAGAACGAGGACTACCTAGCATTTAGTTCTAATATATTTAATCAAATTAAAATATGAGTGATATACATCTTTCGTAAATTTTGTATAGCCAAATTTCATAAGCAAATACAAGCTCCAAATTGACGAACGTATCGCCACCCTCCCGTGTTTGTATTCGTCAAAGTGATTCGTATTTATCGATCCCCGAGACTCTCCGATCTGTTATTTATCGAATGGAGATAATTTCGATTTAATTACTTATTAACTCGCAGGATTTCTGTTATTTTTGATGCCGCAGAGGGGCCCCCGTTACGACTAATCGTTTTTAAATTGCCGATTTTAATGTTCCCATCGACGAACAATGAATCCGAAGGGGTCGGTCGGGTCGAATGAAAAGCGATAAAGCCTTTTGTGTTTCCAATATCGATCAGACTTTATTAAGGAACGTGCATTTGTTTTATATTTCTTTGCTAATAGGTTTCCCTTATCCGCAACATTTGCCTGTCTCGTTAGAGTTTTATTGCGTTGCAAATCACCATTTAGAATTTTCCTGATCCCCATTCGGTAGTGCGACCTTGGTAATGCTGGAATTTCGTTCCCGTTTGTAACTACTAAAGGTTCGTGATTCTTTTCATATATATTTCAATTAAAGTGCAGTGGATGAGTACTTAAACAACTGAAAAAGAAGGAAGAGTATTTCCCAACATTTCATGTTAGTCTATAAGTGTGCCAACCTATGCGCTATGATTTTGCTAACTCTGTCTTGAAAGCAAGTTGTCAATAAATGACCTTTAGGGTAGATATTTTTATTCTAGAGCTGGGAAACCCACAGTGCACGAGCATGGACTCGCTTGATCCCTTCCATTCCATTCGCACAGCACCTACGTCATTGTCATAGAGGTTCGTCTCTTTCACCAAACTTCGCCGATGAAGCAACTCGTCACCTCTTAGTACTTTCTTCCACGCCGTTAATTTGGCAGAATACGGAAATCCCTGCGGCCTGCTTGTCTCGCTAGGACTGCCCGCCATTAACGATACCGACTCGAAGATTCTATTAATAAGAGCTAGTCCGACGTTACGGTAGATTGATTGATTCCGCAAATTATTAACAAATTTGGACGTTGCCGCCGCGATACGCGCAGATTTGTCACCGTCAGACTTGAGAAGCGGTATGACAGTTTGGCGCACGTGACATCAATTTGCTAAATGTGGGCCGCCCTGCAACAAGAGGATACCGCAAGTGTCGAGAAAGCATTTCTGCAATTCAGTTATACGAAAGACGACGCGCACAAAGCCATTTATTTGCGGCGTATAAGCGCGCGCCAAGAAGTACAATAATGGTTTAAATTCCACGATACCGGGCCGTATATAATACCGCGTAATGAATAGGTCGTCTCCTTTCTCGCCGCGGCTCGCTATCGGTTAATAAATGAAACACTTATATCTCGCGCGCATTTGCCGGATATGTAACAACGATACGGATCGAGTTTTATGTGTTTACCGAGACAGCGTCGCTTAAAACCCGTTCAGGTTTTAGTAAGTACCACCTTCGGCAGGAAACGCTCCTCGACAGACCTATGGGTTGAACCTACCAAGCAGGCAAGAGGACAGCTACGAAGAACACCAAGGACGGAAATATCAATCCAATCGACCTTGGAGTATATTCTAGCTTCTATAACATCAAAATCTGCTGCGAAACAAGAGGAGTTTTCGAATTTATTGTCAATTCCGCAAACATCAAATCGAACAAAACTAAACTTTATAGGGCCGCCTGTCGTCCGTGGAAGTTGTGACAAATAAGAGAGGTAAAGAAAAATGACATCTATCAACAATTTGGTCAACAATTTGAAAATCGTTACGATGAAACAGAATACCCAATGAACGACACGTGCGGTCACAGGTATACCACACAACCACTGCAGGTGCTTAATTAACAACTACCAAATCACGTTCGAATTAAGAGCGAAATGAGAACTGTGAGACCAGGGTGATAGTGAAGCCGAGTATATTCAACCTCTTGTCTATCACATCAATTCCGTAATAAGATCAAATCCTTATGTTGATTCGCGAGGCTTGATGAATGGTTCAGAGTTTATTCCGTACAAGGATACAGACTCGCTGATATCTAAGTGTCTAATCACCAACTCCCTCCACCAATTACAGATTTTGAAAATCAGTTCCTTTTCTGCTGAACCCTGGAAGAACAAAATCCATGGATCAAATGAAACATCAGCATTGTTTGTTAATAAAGCCTAAAAATCCCGTAGAACCTGCTGAAAACTATTGCGAGACGAACAAATTCTTGATACATGAATAATCCAGCTCTGCGATAATGAAGAGCGCAGATTTTTTTTATTCGTTTTCCCAGATGCGCTATTACGCTACGCCTCGTCGAGTTAAAAGCCCCGTCGACTTATTATTCAGGTCAAATTGAGTATAAATTCCAGGCATTTTCAGTCAAGTAGCATTACGGAGGCCAACAACGCTGACCCTAAAGGTTAATGAGGCCAGGTGGTATTAGGTCAGCATGTAAGATGCGAGGAGCAAGATGCCGGACGATTTTGGCATAACATCCGGCCGAAATGCCTCCAGTAGTAATTCGGTGCGCGTCGATTATATTCTGCGAGAGAGAGAATACGTACGTACACATCTGGGTCGGACTAAAAATACATTTTATTATTAATTTAGGATGACGGTTCACGTAGCGTGTACTTTGGCATTCGGCCATCGCGCTTCTGCGGCATTTCTGTCTAAACGTATAGCAATCCCCGTTTTAACAGTCTACAAAGTTTTACATTTTAGCATTTCCTTTTTGCCATTCTTTCTTGTTGAATGTTCAATCAAGATAACATTCGCTCGACAACGCCACTGATCACAATAATCACACCAATGTCACGAATATGCACTGATAACGTAAAAATCAATGACAAACATTTTCTGACTTCACCACACATCATTCAATCATCATAACAAGTAACGAACTATTAATAATAAGCACTCTGGTCAATTATTTACATGTATCATTTGCCATAATGCGAGCCCAAGGCATATAAAATAATTTAAATACCTGAAATATCGGCCGGCTCCGTAAACACCCTTACCTGCAACAAAAAAAAAAACAATTTATTCAAACCGAAAATAAACAGCTAAAGGATGTACTAAATGCTTCCCATTAAAATCCAAGTTCACATTCTAATTAAAAATTGAAAATATGTTTTTATTTTCTCATATTTCAATACTTCTCGCCTATCAGGACTGTAATAAAATTTGACCTTAAGGATTAACCAAAGACAGTTTGGAAATTCATTTTGAAATGATATATATCTGCTTGTATGCTTAGATCAGGATGATAGTGTCCAACAACTACACTGGCGAGCAAAGAATTTCAAATAATTTGGAAAAAAATTGCGGATGGAGATATTTGCTGTCAGTTATTATCACCGTAGTTTGGACTTTTTTATGAAATAGTGGAAGTTCGGCCTAATTAATAATTCGTTAGGTACTTTCCAGTTTATTGTCCATTTATCTCCATAAAACTTGTCATTGTTTGGTGTATTTTTGATCTGAGGTGTAGTTAACTGGTCACAATATCTTTAGATAAATTGTTGTGGCTAGAATTATGATACAAGATGGTCGAGGAAAACTGGAAACTGCAAGAATTGTTGGTCTATGTGCTGTATACCAACGCTACGAGGAGACAGGCTTGATCACTAGAAGAACAGGATCCGGTCGAAGAAGGATCACCAACCAAAGGGATGATCGATTTTTGGTGTTCGCAAGTTTGCGGAATAGCACAGCTTCTGCTGTTTGGATTCGAAATCAACTTCAAGAGGTTATAAATGTTAACGTTAGTCAATTGACTGTTCGAAGAAGGCCTCACACTAATGGATTGTCTTGTCGAATGATAGTTACTGGGCCGCCATTGCACCAAAGGCATCGAATAGCCAGATTAACTTTTACCTGAAATCACTGAGACTGGAATCATTATGAATGGAGCAATGTACTGTTTTCTAATGAATCTCTTTTTCCCTCACTGGGTCAGATGGACGTCGGAGAGTATGGAAGGAGACCCGGAAAAATATATGCCCCAGGTTGTATTGAAGAAAGACTTCCACATGGTGGTGGTTCGATTGTAGTTTGGGCGGCGATCGATTCAGAAAAACGCACAGAGTTCGTCTTTGTACATAATAGCTCTGTGACAGCTCACAGGTACATTACGGAAATTCTGGATGACAGACAATACCTAGATGAGGTGGAAATTAGGCGGTTTGATTGGCCAGCACTCAGTCCAGACATTGACCAGCTCCAAGAAGAGCTGAGAGAGTTACTTATGCAAGAATGGAACAACATCGACCAGAACCTAATCAGTAATTTAATTCAAAGCATGCCAAGTCAATTAAGAGCAGTTATAAACTAAAGAGGAGGGAATAGGCGTTATCAATTTTCAGGTTTTCTCAATATTTTTATTAGTAACTCGTTTTAATTAAATAAAAAATTAATAATTAAATGAGCTTTATTTATAATAGACATTTTCTATTTATATTCTATTCTATTAATGTTACATTCAGATAACCAAATAGAGAAGGATAGAAAATTTACCAACTGCTTGTTCGCGATAAACTTTTTTTGCCAAAAAAAAATAATTTCTTGATTGACCTAAACTTTTTGCCTGCCAGTGTATAATGAGGCTTTTTAAAAAAAGTGTGTAACTTAAACAACTTACAAGTGTTTGTTATTCTGAAAGTACAAAACGAAACATGTAAAAACCATTCTCCACCACAGCTATAAGTTATTATTTACGCTTACGCTTAAGTCCGCAGTAGACAGTTAAAATTAAATATAAGTTTAGTGTGGTTGCATTTAAATCAATGTCAAATGTCTGAGAACTTACAACAATCTTTTTTGCTGGCAAAACTTGTACATTTTGTCCTTATGACCTCACTTCAAACTCTTAATATGATCGCATATTATCACAACAGTATAGTACTTTATGAATAAATTATAACCCCAAAAAGACCTTACAACTTCGGACGTATCACGGCCAAATTGCCGTATGCTGGAGCATTGCTTTTATACGAAACGATAGCATAATTATCTCCACTCGACAACTTTCGATAATTTAATCCCCACGCCGTCGACGGAACAAAATAATCAACTTTTAACGAAATGCTCGGGCGTGCAAAATTTTAAACTAAATCGACAGTGGCGGGAGGCGGCGGCGGCGGCGGCAGCGTGAATAATACCGGAAATGGCGGACGCACTAATTGGTACCGTATAGTTTTCTGCGCACCGCACGGACGAATAATAAAGTTTGAATAATAAATCAATTTTGATACAATGTTAATTAAGAGGGCGAACATACGTACGTATATCTACTGTGGCGAACGAAACGCTATAATTAAAATGATAAAATCCAATTTCACACGACACGGCTTCGGAAATCTATAGCCGCGGTGAACGCCATTCGGTCAGCAGTTAAATTTCGACCCGGGGATTGTTTTCCAACTAATTGCGACAATTCGGGACTCTTCAGCGTTAATTTAAGCAAGTTCGTATTTATTAACTCCCATAAATATTGCCCCACCGGTCCGCGAAACCGGCGGACAGGTTTTTTTTTTCGCTGCTACGGATTAAAAGTTTGAGAGAGTATACGCCAATAAAATATATTGGTTAGTTAGACAACCAAGGACCACTTGGTAGTCCACAACTTTCAAACCTCTGGGTGTCATCAACTAGGAACCACCAGAATTGCTGAGGAAGTCAAAACCTATTCCAAGTTCTAGAGTCATTGATTGGATTAGAAGTTCAAACACTCGCTACCGAAAACATATTTGTTCAATGCATAAAAAAAGGCGAAGGTGACAAAAAGGAAAACAATAACCCTAACCAAAATACATACAGTTGTTTTGGCGGAGACACATCTAAAATAAAAAAACTAACCGCCTCGCATCGCCGCACAACAATACAATCTCCCATTCTGCTAAGTGTACCTAAACATTATGAATCTCTTGTGTGGTTGTCTACTCCTTGCTGCAGTTTGGTATCTTCGCCCTTAGCCTAATCTTAATCTTAGCTTAATCCGAGTTACACTCACCCATTGCTCAATAATTTACTTAGCTGAAGGTATTCTGCATAAAATAAAACTTCTGTAAACACTAACAATAACGTTATCATGAATTTAGGACACATAAATTATTAACTGAACCACCCTCCTTCGCTACGCAGTCAAGAGTGATGAAGGCAAACCCTAATCTCGCCGTCTTGGGCTCTACTGCTTGTCGACCCTAATCAACCACATTGATGCGTCTTACGACAGCACTTTATTTTAATGTTGTCCTGATTTCGCTCTTACCGGTTCATTGTCACTTCAACCTTATTCCTTTTCAGCCGCGCTAAATGTTATTCCATCCATCGTAAACACCAATTACAAAATATAAAAATAACAACGAGATGATAACGTTACCAAAATAAAATACACGCACTGCTCGGAAGCCCGATAAAGTTGGGACTTAAGTCACTTGCTTGCCTGTACCATCGGCTTACGCAAATCCGATTTGTCGGATTAAAATGTTACGCACGCCAATGTATTAAGCATACATATCCTAATTTTATAACGCCGTCGGAAAATACGACCCATTTTTGTCACTTAATTCATATACGTGAGGTCGGGCCGCTTTAGATCCGATGGGTACAAAACTGGGTTTCTTATCTGTATGATTAAGCACCAGCAGGTCTAGCTGAGTAGCTCGCCCAAGTCACTGTTGCTAATAGCAGTAAATTTTTAGACACGTTTTAGAAAATTAAGTAAACGACAATAAATTAAATTTCTTTAACAGCATAGCAAATTTCCTCTATCTAATTCGCATATACATATTCAGAAATAGGAAAGACGTTTCAGTTATGTTACGAAGCAAAGAGAAAGACAACCAAAATAAGATATATATTTGTTTTTTGAAAATCAGTTCTGGCAATTTTTTTGTTGCGGTTGGTAGTTCAAATACGGTGAGAGAAACTTTTTTCTAGTTACTTTACCACCAGAACTAAATAAATAATAAATAAATAGAACCGCCCTTATTTTAAGCTCGGCGAAGGTCAGCTGAGCTGTTAACTTAGCCGAGTATGTAACAAGACTTAATTTAGTATACCAATTTTTTTACGTACAAAGATATGAATCAAGCGACAAATCAAAAGTGGACAAACGACAAAAAAATACAATACTAAACAAAGAGAACTGATTAATAATCCAGGTAGTTTCCGGTAAGAGATATTTTTTAAATGAAATTTAAAAGCGCAATGACTAATCTGAGGATATTTATTAAGTAGTTAAGAGATGTATACGAGAAGCAGCTTAATCATGGACTTCCTAATTTTAGATATTCCATACTGACAATTGATGCGGGATCCACTGAAATGAATGAGATTTCTACAAATCAGTTTTTCCAACAAATATAAGGGGTATCCAGTTTTGGGTAGTACGTGAAGAAAACAAGCAAAATGTGATTCTTCTCGGCTCGACATACTTAACAATTTTAAATCGTGAAGTTTATGACCTACATGATCTCTTCGTTTAAGGTTATAAATAAATTGAATACAGGATTTCTATACTTTTTGTAATTTATATTTTGTTAAAACATCCAAGCAGGGTCCATAGACAAAACTACAGTAATTTAGATGACTCAAAACCAGGGCTTCACAGAGATTTTTTTAATCTAAAGTTTACAATATCTTTATTTCTATAGCTGTCGCGGAGATTAATATAAGCGTTTTGGAGAGTTTTGGAAACTTGTGTACGACATCTAAGTTCATTATCAAAGATGACACCCAAGTTATTACATTCGTCAACAGCTGGAATTTTAACCCTATTTATAAAAATATCCAGTACTTAGCGGGCTCAAAATATATTAATGCAGACTTATTCGGATTTAATTTCAAGACCGACTGACCGATAAAGACCGATTCAAAACATTTATTTAGCCCCCTTGCCGCTTCCACTGCATCAGACCGGGAAAAAAATATGTATTTACCAAAGCACCAAAGCAATTCGACACATCTGCTGTGTAAATAATGAAGAAAAGAGGTTCTAATAATGAGCCTTGAGGGA